TGGGAATCGAACTCCAAAGTTTCTTCCAGATTAACACTGAGTGTTGGACTCGGGGCCACTGCTGGAAATTGTTTAAACCTAGGATAATCAGGCTTCCCTCTGATTTTACCCTATCGCCTGATTCCCTCGTCTACGCGCATACTGAGGAATGTTTTAAACGATTGTTGGATTTATACTTGTTGAATTTGCAGGGATCTTGTTGTTTATTATGCAACTGTCACAATCTAACTCGTTGATTGCTGTTTGCGCACCTTCAAAGTGCAAAGTGTTGTTGCAGGACCACCAGCCGCTTGATGACCCCTTGACGCTTGCTAACGAGGAACTCGAGGCGGTTGATCAATTCACTTATCTTGGCAGCTGCATCAGCAATGATGGGCGCATAGAAACTGACGTGAGCTCACGCATTGCAAAGGCCAGAGCTGTCTTCTTGAACCTGCGTCATCTTTGGCGACAGAAGGGAGTTTCCCTCCGTCTGAAAGGCCGTGTATACAAGGACACAGTGAGGGCCGTTCTGCTATATGGTAGTGAAACTTGGCCCCTTCGGTCTGAAGATCTGAGGCGCCTTCAAATCTTTGATCATCGTTGTTTGCGAATCATTGCTGGTGTCGGATGGCACCAGCGTGTCCGCAACGGTGATGTGCGTAGGCGAGTACTAGGTGGTGATAGTCATGCTAGCTCCTTAGAACAACAGATAGCACTGAATAAGTTGCGTTGGCTCGGGCACGTGCTACGTATGCCTGGTCACCGCTTACCTAGGAGGGCCTTGTTCAGTCAACCAGGTGTAGGATGGCGCAAGGCTCGAGGTGGACAGAAGTTGACTTGGCAGCGGGAAATGAAGTCACTGACGACCAAACTGGGTGCCGTTGTTCCGTCTCGCCTTTCGGGCTGGAGTCCACGTGACTCGCCTATTGCTTGGCTCGAGACTTTACAGGACATGGCTCGCAACCGACACCAGTGGCGCGTCTGCTGCCGTCTCCTAATCGGATTGCCTGTTTAAAGTGTGTTTGGCACTGATTTATCTGCGGGGTAATGGCTGATTATGACGCGTGGCAGTGAAAGCCGCAAGGAAGCTGTCTCGCCGATACCGCCTTATCTTTGCACGATAGCCAGCTGTTTGTGACGGAATGTTGTCTACACAAGGTGTAGGCGCCTTGACCCTGAATGTTTGCTTAGGGCATTAAGGTTTTCAGGTAAGTCCCCCTTCTCTCCCTCTTCTTATTCTTTATTTCATAGGCCCTCATGGTTGTATGGTAGCGAAGCATCAGTTCAAATGGCTGATGTACTGCTGTTGATGATGATGTTGTTGCGCAAACACCTGCTATGATTGGGAGGTAATGGAGCTGACAAAGGTCTTTCCTTTCCTTCTGCTCTCTATATTCCAATGATTCCAGTGGTACTGTAAGTATATCTGCTCTGTTATTAACTGGCGCCGATTCACGCCTCTCTTAACGATGAGAGCCGTTCCGTCCTAGTCCCAATTTTCAAGGAAGCTCACGATCGGAATGCGGTAACCATAGAGAACTCAGTCTGATCTCCATCGCCTCCAAATTGCTTGCCTGTCATCCTTCACAGACTGATTGCCATTTGTGCAAGCCATATTCGTGAAAAGCAAGCCGGGTTTCGTCGAGGTCGTGGCTGCGTTGACCACATCTTCACTTTGCGTCAGTTGTTGGAGCACCGTCACGTATATTGGCGGCCCACCGTTGTCGTGTTCCTGAATATCAAAGGTACATTCGATTCGGTGGATATACGTGCACTTTGGAACTGTCTACTCAGGAAGGGTGTACCTGAGAAATATGTGAATATTATCCGAGCATTATGTGCGGGTAGCTCGGGCAGAGTGAGGGCTTACAGCAAGCTGTCGTCGCCCTTTAATATCTCCAGCGGTGCGAGACAAAGATGCCAGCTGTCACCTTTCCTCTTCAACTTCGCTAATGACGAAGTCATGGAAATCGCGTTCACAGAACACGGCTTAGGTGGTGTGGATCTGCTCCCAGGAGAACGACTTCTTGACTTGTAGTATGTTGATGATATTGCGCTTATCTGTGATAGCTCCCAGACGTGCGAAGCGGCGCTGGACAGATTAGTCCTGGCTTGTCAGCCGCTTCGGGCTTTGTTTTGCACCATCGAAGTGCAAAGCTTTCCTCCAAGATTGGCCTAGACCGTCTCCTTTGCTGACCCTTGGTGGCGATCAGCTAGAAGTCGTTCAAAAATTCAACTACCTGGGAAATCGTACCAGCGCCCGTGGTATTGAAGATGAGCTCACGAACTCTATAGCAAAAGATCGAGGCGCTTTTGGTAACCTTCGCCACTTATGGCGCCGGCGCGACATCACTCTTGCCCTGAAGGGTAGAGTGTACAATGCAGCGATACGTTCGATCCTACTGTACGGTTGTGAAACCTGACTCCTTAGATCAGCGGACCTGAAGAGGCTAGTTACGTTTGACCATCGGTGCCTTCGCAATTTTGCTAACATCTGTTGGGAACACCGCGTGAGCAACGAGCGTGTTCGACGGCTTGTTTACAACACAGGAAAAGGAACTGAACCGCTCAGCACCGTTATTTCACGCACCAGGCTGCGATGGCTGGGCCACGTGTTGCGCATGCCAGCCCACCGACTCTCGCGACGTGCGTTGTTTGCGCGCCGGGAGTGTGGATGGAAGTAGAGGAGAGGTGGCCAAGCGATGACTTGGTCGAGAGGAATGAAGGCCCTCACTTCGAAGCTGGCCTCAGTTGGAGCGTATCGGGTTCCATATGATGTGATTTATTCACCGCTCCTTCGGTGTCCTAACGGCCAATATTTTTGTGAAGCTGTTCTCAGCTTTTGTGCGACCCCACTTAGCGTACTGTATCCAGGCTTGTTCTCCTTGTCTTGTAAGGGACAAAATGGAACTGGAGAGGGTTTTGCGAGTGGGTACAAGGTTAGTGCAAGGATTACAGGGACAAACGTATCCCGCAGGATTAGAGGAGACTTGATCCTTACTTACCGTATCTTAACGAGTACGATCGGTCCAGATTTGTCCTAGCTATTTAGTCCCGCCAAGCTGCCTCGTCTCCGAGGTCACCCGTTGAAGCTGCACAAACTGCGTTCTGACCGGGTAAAGACGGAAACTCGCTTGTCGCGCCGAGTTATTGAACGTTGGAACTCGCTTCCGGAGCACGTCGTTAGGGAGTCTACGGTAGAGTATTTTGTGCTTCAGTTAGATGCTCTTGGGTGGCAGTATCAAACCTTCCCCTTCTCCTAACCGACTTGTCACTTCAACTTTCCCTTCGCTTTTTTAAAATTTCTTCTTACCTTGGTATTATCATTATTTAGCTGACATTTCTCTTGTTTTCTTAGCTTACCCTTCACTCTTTTACTTCACACAAACCGGCCTGGCAGGGACTGCTGGGCACGAAAACGTGGGCAGTAATTGGTTGGACAGGGCGTGTTGCGGTCTTTGTTTTAGGCTTTTCAACATCTCTAGTAAACCTATCAATTCCCGATCCGACGATACACAAAAGAAGGATCATTCACGGGATTATCCTACCGTTCCTGTCCCCACTGAACTTGAACTTTTTTATTGATTTCTCCAAGGAGTTCGACACTGTATCACATTCTCGCCTCTCCTTGAAGCTTCGGTCCTATGGAATATCAGGGCGTGCACTAAAATGGATCACCACGTTTCTGGAAGGGAGCGAGATGTGTGTTCGTGTGGGGTCTGTTCTGTCTTTCCGTCAGTCAGTCCTCAGTTGGGTCCCTCAAGGTTCGGTGCTTGGCCCGTTGTTATTTTCCTTGTTTGTCAACGAGCTGCCCGAACTCCTGGGGGTACCATCTCTCATGTTTGCAGATGGCCTAAAGTTTTGGCACAGTGTCCGACCTCCATGGACCCCAGACTCTGCAACGCCCCCTCGACAAACTTTGGGACTGGGCTGCTCTGTGGCAGTTGCCCATAAATTGTGCAGTGTTCTACCTTACGATCAGGGCCAAATGGCCCCCAAACGCGTTATCTGCTTGGCGGTAATGAACTACACCATGTTTCCCAATTGGTAGACCTAGGGGTCACGTTGTCTTCAGAACTTTAATCCAGTGAGACCTGGAGGAAAGCTACTTGTAGGTGTTTCAGAATGTTGTGGATGATCCGCAAGGCATTCGGGACCATCACGGGCGCTATGTTTGTTAGGTTATTCTCAGTATTTGTTAGGCCACACTTGGAATACTGTATCCAAGCTTGTCCACCTTGCTTAGTCAGGGACAGGATGTCAGTGGAGAATGTTGAGATTTGGAACCAAAATGGTTCATGGACTACGGAACCATTCTTACCCAGAAAGACTGCTTGCGCTGGAAATGTTCTCAATGCATTATCGTTACCATCGAGGCGACCTTGTCTTGACCTATCGTATACTTAGTGGTAAAATCAGACCCGATTTATCTAGCCTTTTCCAACCGGCTCGGCTTCCATCTCTCCGAGGTCACTCGCTGAAGCTACACAAACCTCGATCGGATGGGGTCCGGGCGGACTTTCATTTATCACGCCGAGTGGTGGATTTCTGGGATGCACTGCCCGAGAACGTGGTATTGACACCAACGGTGAAAGATTTCGAACACTGACTCGACGCTCTTGGCCTTCAATTCTTAACATTCCCCTTCACTTCCTAGCTTATTCGCCTTATTGAATTATTAAATCTATTACGTTTTGCTTCTTGACGCTCTTATTACTTTCGTACTTCTGTTTCTTATTTCACGTGACCGGTGCGGCAGGGACTGCCAATGCAGGTCGCGTGGGTATTAATTGGTTGACCGTGGTGTGATTGGCGCGCGCTGATCTGACTCTTCTGGATTTCAGTTATCGCGGACGAATAATACCCTAGATCGACGACTCGCCACGGAAGGAACATTCACGGGGATTTATCCTACTGTTCCGGTCCCACTTGAACTTGATCTGCACACTTCGTATCCTCTATCCTTACCCGCCTACTCTCCTTTTTAGCTCATTGGGTCCGTCTTTCACCACTATGTCAAATTCAGTTGTGCTTGTTTTCAGCGGCCCTTCGGGAGCTGGAAAGAGCACTCTACTCAACATGTTATTCCAAAATTTTCCAAACAAATTTGCATTTAGCGTCTCGCATACAACTCGTCCCATCAGGCTGGGTGAGGTAGATGGCAAAGATTATCATTTTGTTTCAATGGCCCAAATGATGCAAGATATCTCGGAAGGAAAATTTTTGGAACATGCTGAATTTGCTGGGAACATGTACGGCACATCTAGAGCTGCCGTTAAGCAGGTGTGTTTTTCGCTACCTTACTTATTTGTTCTATTTGGCTACGTTTTATTATCAACCTAAATTGTATGACTTTGTCGATGGATATTTTGCTGCTACATTCTGCTATAATTCCTCCAGTAACTCATTAAAATCGCAGCGAGACTAGACCTTAACGTGGCGCAATGGTTTGCGTACCTCATCGGTCCATTGGGCTATGCTGGGTGGTACTTTGCGCCTTCAGAGCTACACATACCAGCTTGGTCAATGGTTAGATGCCTGGCCTTCCAGGTTGTGCGTTGGAGTGAGAGTGGCTCCTTACTCCACTGAACGGACGCAGCGTATTCCACTGGCAAAATAACGCTGGTTTGCTGCCAGTTTTTTGAACCAAAGGCTTTGGTTGAGTACCCTAACCGTTCTCCTGTCTAGGCCTGCGCAACCTGACAGTATCCAGCTCATGTTCGACTCGGAGCACGAGCTTGGACTCCGACGACGCACTTGTATGCACCGACCTCCGGGTGCGTTTCGTCTGATATCCGCAACGGCGCTGTAAGTGCATAGGTACTAACCCATTGGCGAACTCAGCTTTTCTGAATGCGTATTAAAGTACGCTGACATCTGAGCTGAGTGAGCGCTCACTGAACACAGTTGAAGACCACTGGTCGCATATCCGCCAGACGTTCTTAGCAGCAGACCTGGCTTCATGTGGCAAATCAAATTGCCAACCAGGGCATTGGGTCTCTATGCTCGCCGTAGTGTTTCTGCTGGAAGCGAATACAATGAGACTCGCAAAGCTCTCAGGGCGAAACTATGTGCTAGTCTGAAGCGAGACCGCAAAGCCTGGTGATCTCGTCGTCCTTCGGAAATGAAAATAACCGCTGCCTTTCGTAAACATCGAAAGTTATTCCGTCTGATAGGGAAATGGGCTGCAGGAAGCTTGATGTTAGTGAGACCGTATGTAATGAAAATGGACAGCCGATCCACAGCTTGTCAAAACGCTTGAGGCGTTGGGCGTCCCCTTGGATCCAACCCTTACGTGGCATCAGAATGAGGAAATTGAACAAGGACGCAGGAGCAGGTGGATTATTTTCAGCCTTCTTCCAATTCGGCGGACCTGCTCTTATAGATGATTTACATAAATTACTGGTGAATCTGTGGGTGCGAGAGTCTGTCCCAACAGACTGGTGCCGCTACGTCATAGACCCAATTTTCAAGGGAGGTTACCGTTCGGGATGTGGCAGTTATAGAGGAATCAGTCTGATCTCCATTGTGTCTGTCGTCCTCCATAGATTGACTGGCACCCGTGAAAGCCGGGTTCGCGAGCATCAAGCCGAGTTTTGTCGAAATCGAGGCTGCATTGACCACCTCTTCACATTACGTCAGTTGTTGGAGCACTACCATATTTAGTGGCGACCCACCGTTGTCGTGTTCCTCGACATGTAAGGTGCGTTCGATTCGGTTGATGGGACTGCCTACTCAGGAAAGGTCTGCTCGACAAACAGCTAAATGTTGTATGAGCACTGCACGCGCATAGCTTGGGCAGAGCGTGAGTTTACGGCACACTCGCGGCTCTTCAACATCCTCAGTCGTGTGAGACAAGATTGCCTGCCGTCACCTTTCTCCTTTTACTTCACCTTTAACGAAGTCATAGAATCCGCATACACTGAGCATAAATTATGTGTGGAGCTGCTCCCTGGTGACTGACTTCCTAACTTGGAGTACGCCGACCATATTTCCCTTATATCTGACAGCTCCCAAAATTGCAAAGCTGCGTTGCATAAATGAACGATGGTTGTCAGTTGTTTCGGGATATGGTTTGTGCCCTCGAAATGCAATGTTCTCCAGGATTGGCAGGGACCCACTCCTGCCCTGACCCTTGGCGGTGATAATTTAGAACTCGTCGAGAAATTCAAGTATGTGGGCAGTTATATCAGCACCAGTGGAACAGGAGACGAGATCGGGAACCGTATAACAAAAACTTGATGTGCTTTTACTAATTTCCGCCATCTGTGACGCCTGCGTGGTATTATTCTCGCTCTGAAGGGCAGAGTTTACATTGTAGCTATCCGTTCAACCCTCCTGTACGATTGCGAAATTTGGCCCATGCAATCGACAGACATATAGGGGCTAGTTTCCTTCGTTCATCTCTGCCTTCGCAATTTAGCTCACTGCCTACGCAATGAGCTTGTTCGGCGTCATGTATTTGGTGCCGGAAAATCGAGTGAACCGCTCATCATCATTATATCACACACCAGGTTCCAATGGCTGGGCCACGTGTTACGCATTCCAGTACCTCGACTCGCGTCGCGTGTTTGCGCGCCGGGGGTGTGGATGGGAGAAGATAAGGGGACGCCAAAGAATGACTTGGTCAAGAGGGTTGTAGTCTCTCACATCGAAGTTGGCGTCAGTTGGTGTTTCCTGACTGCCTGCCTGTGGACCGAAGGACGATGAACCCGTTTGGTTGGATACGCTAGCCGACATGACGAAGAGTCGACCTCAGCGACGTTTGTGATGTGTCTCTGTTCCTCCCTTCCATTTTACTTTCCCCCTCTAGCAGCGATCTCATACCTCATGCCCAATATGATATTTAGCATTATAGTGCTTTCTAGTTTTTTTGGTCTGTATTCCGGCACGATGGTTGCGGTGTGTTTCGCACCCTCAGCTAACGTGTATTAATGATGGTGCTGATATGTACCATTTCAGATGAGAAACCGGCACGCGCCCAAAGTTGGTCTCATTGGAACTTTTTTCAACCACTTTGCGTGCACCTAGAACAAATTTTCCGTTTCAACGTAACTTTCATGTCACACATCCCCATACATTCCCGCATCTATTACAAGTTATCTAGATAACATATTCTCAAATGTTCACCTGAATGCCAATTTTTCTACACTTATCTGATGGACGCTTTGAAGTAATTCGATTAGGTCACCTATTCTACTCACTGCGAAATATGAACTGCTTTGTAAAAGAACGAAAGGGTGTAGGCACATGAGAGTGCTGCAGATCTTGTTCTGACTGTCTACTTAGCGACCAAAAAGTTTACCACTGATGCTAACCTCGGGAGCTCATCGAACACAAATTGGGTTATGCTGAAACGATTACTCTACTTTCTTTAGTTATATATTCTCTTCGAAGCCGAATTTTCTCACTGGACACAGATCAAATATGCCTCCTGCATTTTTATGATGTTGCGACTTCATCGGTAATTTCACTTTAGTTTATGATGCATCAATAAAGCGCTTTCTTGACGCATTATTTGGCTACCAGATACATGTTGATTATCATTCTTATCATTGACTTAGTGCGATAACTGACCGTACAACTTCCTTGTGGTACATGCCTTATGGTCCGGGATTATCCTGCTCCAGCGAATGGTTCGGCAGCAGTGTACAGGACGTAGTGGGTTTTCGCTTTAGCAATCGTTCTCCCTATAAAAAGCTACATATTTTCGCTTAACAACACAGTGACGTGGCAGATGTAACTCGCTACTGGATAAAGTCACTTCCCCTTGCCTCTCCCTGAGTGGCATTGTAACTTCAGGGTGTGTTGGTCCCCTGGTCCTTTGCAGGACCTAAAGGCGTATAAATCACTTGTTTGGTCACCGGCTCCCAACGGGTTGCGACGCCCTTATATCATCCTGCTGCCTTGTAGGTTATATCCTTGATCAAATGCTCGGGGTTGGGCCCCTTAATACAACCCTCTACTTCGGCCTGGGCAACGGGGTAGTATCGCGCCCACTGCTGAATCATGAACGAACAATATTACTGCTTTCTCTCTTGCTGTCTACGTACTATACTGTTCCTACTTATAAATCGCCACTCACAGATCGTTCTACGTCTTATTATTCAACTACAATTATATTCTCCCTGGTCACCGTCAACTGCTGCTCACTGGTCGCACCTGACGAAAGTCAGTTAAACTCTTGGTGTGCGATGCCGGGTGACCACAGCCTTTTCAAACTTCACCGAAGCCCCAGCTTTTCTTCGACTTAGTTCTCCCTTCCTCCTTGCAGCGCTCAACGTTCACACTCTGATGCACATCGCACGGCAAGCATGCCTGACCTGTACTCTTGAGATGCTCTCGGTAGACATCTGTTGCCTCTCGGAAACTAGATTGCATGACACCACTACCGTCATCAGAAAGGCCTCTCCTGCAAACCTTGACGTCAAATACCATTTACGTCTTTCCGGTGACCAGCTGCCGCTTCTGGCCAGGCTGATGTTGGGGTTGCTCTGAATGATAAGGCTGAGTCCGTTCTGCTTGACTGATTCCCAGTCAACGGTCGGCTATGTGCGTTCAGACTAAGAGGTTCATATAAGTTTAGTAAGCCTTGAGATCTTACACGCGCTTTATTTGTCGTCTCTACCTACATTCCTACAAACTGCATCCCGGATGCAGTCACGGATTGCTTTTACCAACAACTACATGACGTCAGCTGTTGTGGAGTTCTCCGAGCTGGGCAACTTGATTGCAAACGTTTCGCCACCATTCGAGGTGGCATCTTCAATGCGGGATTCATAGCAGTTAAGCAGCAGTAGCTGGTAGGAAGCAAACCCCAAACCCGAGCTACCAATATTCCAAATCATTTCGAACTACATGACCTTCCGCATCCTGCTAAAAATTCCGAGATTGTCATTCTCGCCGGAGACTTAACTGCACATGTGGGCTGCCTGACACCTAGCGAGCACCATCTTGGGAGGAGTTTTGTAGGAGCGCTGGTTAGGTGCGGAGTTCGGATTTAACGTCCCATCATCTTTGGATTCCATAAAGAAGTGTGTGTGTGTGTGTGTGTGTGTGTGTCAACCGTACGCCGTAACGGCGCTTCGCTGCCGCGCGACCACCACCAGTCGCGCGCGGGCTGAATATACCGCGAGGACGCCCACCCCGACGCGGATTCGAACCGGTGACCTTATGGTTGCAAAGCAAACATGCAGACCACTGAGCCACCGGCCGACCCATAAAGAAGTAAAAGCATGTATTCCCATTGTTGTCTTTTAATGCTCCTACGAATAATCACGGAA